ACTTAATAATGAAAATATTTGAAAAATAATTAAATATTTGTCCAAGTATTAAAGTCATATTTCTATTTAAAGATCATTTTACAATTACCCTTTAACTCAGGGGGTGTAATAAATTATTTTGTTTACCTTCGCGTGCTATCATGACATTACCCATATTTTATTAAGGGAAAATTAAATTAAATTAGTTTTATTTGAGCAGTCCGGAAACAATAAAGGTTTATAATTTATAACATCATTTGCTGACCATTTCATACAATAGTAGTTATTTTAAGACTACTTTTGTACTTATTGAATGTAGCGTTTACATAAAAATGTAGTTAATAGTAATTGAGTAATGACACGATTTAGTCTATCTTTGTAACTTAAGTAGATTTGTTTCGAGAAGTCTCACTTTGATATGTTTTAATTATGATTTGAATATGATAATAAAATTTGGTATACAATATTATGTTATACTAGCGACTCACCCTCGCTTCGCTTGGTTTGATTCCTCAAAATTTGATCCCCATTTTCACCCTCTTAAGGGATGATTTCCAGGGTAAAAACTATTCCATGTCCTTTCCAGCGACTCTTACCAAATTTCGTGTAAAGCGGTCTAGTAGTTTCATTTTTCTCCGGAAATCATCCCTTAAGGGGGTGAAAATGGGTATGATAGTTTGTATGGGAATCAACCTAGGGACGAACCCAAGACAAGCAGCAGTGAGTTGCTAGTCTATATATAAATAGGCAAAGACAAAACAGTTCAGTAACTTTATCTGCAGTGTTTGTCAAGTGATTTTCTTTTTTTTTGTTTACTAGATAGCTTTTGACGAGCTTTAGTAATATCAAAAAAAAAACGATTATGCTCAAATTCCGATGGCTAGGTGAAGTCTAGTTAAAATTATTAATTACCATATTATGTATATCCGGCGGAACCGGAAATAATTAACCAATGCTAGCAGTTAATAAGCTTAGACAATGATCTTTTGTTTGAAAATCTCCATTAAATATTTTTTTAAAACTCCTGCGTCATTAACCGTTGCACGTTTGTGAAGGTAATCTTGTTTGGACATCATCTCGTTCCATTTGTATTTGCATATTTCTGTTGCTGTCGCTCTACAAATGTTGCCTTTAAAATCAACACTCGAATGAATTGAATTTTTATTTTGACACATCAGGTATGTACCTTACTAGGTATTTGTTATAGTTCTTTATAGAATCATATGATTAATCTAAGTCAACAAATATGTATTGCCATACGTTTTAATATTTTAATTAAAAAATATGTAATAATAAATACTATAATTAATATTGACATCTGGCAAGAAAACAACATAAAGTATTTAGATAATTTAAATTAGGTAATTTCCCTAAATATTTTAAGTCCAAACAAAATTGCCACAATACTAACTTACAATTTGGTTCTTTACAGGTATCGAAGTATGCTAAGTATTGTTAAAACAATTTACTAAAGCTGTACATATCAATATAAATTCTTATAGAAAATTTTCATCAACGCTATTTCAATAGTACTAACACAAATAAATGTAATATTATGTATTAAATGAAATGATTTATGTAGGTCATATTTATATTGGATTAAGTCCCTTATAATATTAATTGCAAGCGTTCTGGACCAGAAAGCAATTCATAATGAGTTCAATTTTTACTAATAAATTTTATTTGCAAAGTTTAAAAATTAGAATATTACTCAATGTGAACTTTTAATCATAGGAATATGGTGCTTACTAAGAGATATGAAAATCAACGATTGTTTTCTACGTAGTTTCATATATATTAAAACCACTTAACACAAAATCACTAACCACACAAAATCATTTTTTCTTACAATATTTTTAAAATAATAACAAATTCGTTACAAGGGGAATAATATATATGACAGAATATCTATAAATACTCGAGTACGTAACTTACCTATGTATATTTTTTACCCAAAATTGGAAATTCTTGTTAGTCGCGAACAAATAAAGCACAAGACACCGATATGTTCATCAACGAGCTTGGAATTCTCCTTGGTCCATTAGCCAGATATTTTAATTGTTTGTTGGCGTCCCTTCTGAAAGTTTGCAGCTGGGCGCCTACCGCATCATCGTGCTATTTCGAGACAAATTACTTTTCAGTTGATGACTTTCTTAAGTGTTCAAACTTTATACTTGGTAATTCCATTAACAATATTTATTTTAGCGCTTTTCATAACTTACGCACTTGCTCTTTCGCTTTATGTATTAATTTTATTAATTCTTGTTTGATTTGGAACGACTCGCTTACGACAGATGTTAATTAATAGTATACTAAAGACCCCAGCTTCACTTACGTCTTCCTGTATACCTGACAGTGACATGTGTACCTCAGGTAATACAAAGCCTGGCATTACACACGTTTATCTGTGTAGATACCTATTAATTTTCAACCAATCCGTCTTTAGTGTAACCCACATGTAAAACTTGCTTTATAATTATAGTAATCCAGTCTATACTTAATATTATAAAGAGGTAAAGTTTGTGAGCTTGTAAGATTGTGAGTTTGTGACGTTGTAGGGGGTAATCTCTGGATCTACTGAACCGATTTAGATGAAATGTTGTAAGAAGATAGTTTAAGACCCTGAATAGGATATAGGATACTTTTTATCCCGGAAATCATCCCTTAAGGGGGTGCAAAAGAGGATGACAGTTTGTATTGGGAATCAAGCTACGGACGATCCCGAGCGAAGCGAGGTTGAGTCGCTAGTAAAAATGTAAATTTATTTATTCAGAGCTGCTAAGCTAACTTTTAAGCTATAACTCTCAGAATATAGTATTCTGATCTATTAGTAATAGATCCCAATATCTGTGTAATAATTCATGTCTAATCAGACGATACTCTAAGTTTCACAATGTTTCTCGTCACCCCGGATTTCACTATCGCGCCATACATCATATTGAAATGATAATTCAATAACGACTCGCGTTGGGTTCAGATAAAAGAATATAATCCAAATGGGCATAAAATTATTCCTCCATAGCACGCCTGGGACAGTTTATTTGAGTTAAATAATTTATGCCTTCATAGATAAGTTAGTATGGAGATTAGGTGGGAATCTAATATAGGGAATTTATGTGCGGTTCTTATCTCGTTGACTAGGCGCGTGTCTATTTATTGAATAAAACTATTCAAATTTTATTAAGAAACATTAGAAAGTTTCAATTGAAATGCCCTGAATGGCCTTTAACTAAACATTAAAAAAGCTATTAAGCTTAATTATGAACGGTTATAAATATTTTGTGGTTATGAATTAAAATCATAATATTATCTCATTATGGGTTATATGGACGGTATGAATATTTGATTGTAATATTATTACTTTTGTAGCACGTGCAATAACTATATCTACACACAGTATCTATACACATACGTATAATACACATACATATATAGACGACAGGTTTGGTTCAGTTTGTAGTGACCCTACTTGCTTTACCAGCGGTCGCAGGTTCGAGTCCCGCTGGGGGCATTCATTTGTGTGATGAGTACGAATGTTTGTACTCCAGTCATTGGGTGTTATATTTATAATATTTATGTATCGACTAGTCCTACGTATACTAGTACAAGTGCAAAAAAGCAACTTTACAGGAGAGCGATTCAAACATTCTAAAGCTTGTAACTTTGACATAGTTCAACAGAAATCTTTGAAATCTTGAAATGTAATACCTGAGTATTATAGGAAAAGGGCTGTGTAATTAAATTTTAATTTTTTTTGTTATTTTAGAAAATAGTGTCAGTTGTATTTACGTAGCCTATTCTTTCTCAAATATTAAAACACATAAAGTAGTACAAGTGATCACTTATATCAGTATACGTGTACAAATTTTTTTGCAAACCAAGGCAAATAGAAGGACAAATCAATATAACATATGCATATCCGTGGTTACTGATAAATAATTGAAGCTCGTGATATTAAAAATAATGATCTTTATCAATTTTTATCACTTGCACCACTTTACTAAGTACTGAAAACTACTTGTATCACTTTTCTATGTAATACTCTAGTCAAAAATTTCATTAGGTTTACGGGAAATAAAACCAAAATATTAAAAAAATAAAGGTTTATTACAAATAATATGATAACCAAACAAATTAATGGTTTAACCATTTTGGAACAAAATATAAAAAAGAAACAATTATTCTTAATTTAGGTAGGAACTATCGTCAACTGTAATATGAGGTACCTAGTTATTAGGGCAGTAAATATTTATTAGTATTTAATCAGTCTTTAAAATATTATTAATATCTAGTAACAAAGTTATTAAAAATATAAAAAGAAACAAACGCATTTTCTAAATAATCATAATAAAACTTTATTATTTTACTAAAACGAAAAGAAAACCAAGTCCTTCTTAAGTAGGAACGATCGTTAAATTAATTATTCATTTAGTAACTACTCTTTAATTATTGGCCTTTCTGGCTAATTAAAATAAAATATCGCTTAGTCACCTAATTAAGTAAAATAAAACAACAATCGAAGTAGTGGTAGGAATAAAATACAAAAAAGAGAAAGGCTGATAAATATAGCCTAATCAGATAGGTCTCCAGTATTCTCGGATCTAATTTTCAAATTCTTATAATATAAATGCTATCGCTCAGGGATTACAGTCGAAATACAAAGATCTTGAAGATCTTTGTATTTTTTTATCAATTGGTAATAAGCTTTTGTAAGCTACATCTAAACTATCAAATTTTTTAGTAAAATTTTGTATGGCGGTTCGTGTGTTACTTCTTACACATTGTATAGTTTTATAGGCATCTTTTTCAAAAGTATATTTGTAATTGAGCTTAAATAAATCTTTGGCCTTAACATTAACCTCACAAATTTTATTCCACATCACAAGCTCTCCAATACAGTTCTTCTTCCAGGTATCAAAAAAGGTAAGGCACGACTTAAAATCAAAAATTAAAGATTGAGTAACTTCTTTTACTATGTATGGTTTTGCATTATCAGTGGCCATTTTGAAGGCCAGAGATCATTGATCTGGAGTATAAATCAAAACACTTCTGGTTTTCTTTTCTATTACGGAGTGAATACTGTCACCCTCGGTCTGGATGTGACCAACAACAAGAAATCTATTAGTAATATTCAACAATAACAATACCCTTGCAGATCACCCATGTCAAATGGGGTAAAATTATGAAAATGTACTTTTCTCTTATAATAAAATGTGCTAACATTGCCATGTGGTAAGCTTTGTATTTTTTGCAAATCGAAAGTAACAGCGACTATAGTTTTATCGTCCTTAGATATTTTTTGTCCAAAAATTGTTAAATATATCGTACCTTGCCATTTCTTCCATTTTCAGCATATTTTCTAGGATATTTACAAGGAGCTTTCATTTCTTTCTGTTTAGTTATTTTTCCAGTCCTACTTATATATTCTAAGCTTCTGTTTAAGTTGTATTTTCGTTTCTCATCTAGCCACCTCCTTTGGTATCTTTCTCGTAATCTGCCCTTATCTTTCTTTTTTTGTTTCTTTGTCTTTACATTTGTCGGACTACATAGCGATGTATCAGTGTAATCTGAATTTAAAGGAAAACTATCAAACTCGCTTTCAGTTTCTTGATAGGCTGATGAAAAAGAAACTGATGGTAAAGGTATAGGTGTGAAGCTCTCAATATCATCTTAAGGAAGTTTTTCCTGCTTAGATACACTTAATCCAGTAATAAGATTTTGATGTGAAGATAAAAGCTGTGGTTCACACTTTCTTATGTATTATAAACGATCACACAAACTTCCTGGTCCTTAAAACATGTAGTAGAACTATCAGAATCTGACGAATTGTTTGATAAATTTCGATATAAATTTTCAACTGTTGGTGTTACCTCGAAAAAGTCTTCTGGATTGTTTAAATTAACAACAGTATTGATGAACGACATTTTACGAATAATTCCGCACTCGGAGGGAAGGGAGAATCTAAAAAACATATGATATACATGCATTTAAAATACTAATAATTAGTTTTTAAGGGAAAGTTTTCAGCGTAAATAATACTAGGATTTTGATAATACGTAAATAAAGCAAAGTTCTTTAAAAACATATATTTCATAATAATGTAGTTCATTCATAACATCTACTTAATGTTGTAAAATATTTATGTATTTAATTGAATCCCACTCATGTCAAAAATGTTGGTGACTAATGTAACTTATATCATTATACTTATAAAACATTTGCAAAAATCATCAAATCAAGTCGTGTATACTGATATAAATGCAAAATTAGACAAAGGGAATTCACAAACAAAAAAATAACATTTTACATATGTAGTATAACATTTTTATCTGGCTTATGTGATAAGTTTTCATTCGCGAATTGTAGATTTTCATTGAAATCAACCGGTTCTCTAATTCGGTACATATTATTTTTTTCCAAATTTAGCTGTAATTCCTCACAAGGTCTGCTGTTGATAATTTAAGTGGTTCTAAAATCCAAATCAAAAAAATGTATTAATGCATTTAAAAAAAGTTTATACTATTAATAAATAAATTACCGTAAAAAAATCACTTGCACCAATATACGCGAGTACACAAAATAGAATACGTACTTTGTCTACTAGTGCAAGTGATAATATAAATAAACTGTACATTATTTAATTTATAAAACAGTCACAAGCAATTAAATTAAATCTTAATTTATCATTTCTGTGTTGAAAATAATAAATTGATTCTTACCTTCGAAATTTTCGAGTGTTTTAGTTTTGCTGCATTTTTTTTCTACTAAATGTATCATTAGTGAACGCTTCATGATTATTATTTATTATCACAGTAATTCAACATAAATATAAACCTTATAAAAATAGGTAATTTTTAACAATTGCATAAATAAACCTGAAATCATTGCACTTGTACCAATGTAACACGTTAACTCTGTAACGGCGTCACGTGTATACTGATGTAAAGGTCACTTACACGCTTGTGCCGCGTGGAGTGTAACCATTTACATTAGTGCAAGCGACTTGCATCAATGTTGACAGTCGTGTGGTTTAAAATACCGTCACTTGCACCAAATGGCAAGTTTGTAACTTTGAAATTTACTGATATTTTAAAATGAATTTCACAGGGTATAAAATATAGGTTATTCTAAGGCTATTGATGCAAAAAAACAGTTTTCATGATTTTGTCGGTTATACTAGTATACGTAGGACCAGTCGGTATTTAAAGTTATAAAAGTGCAGTGTATCAACTATACTGTATCCATAACGCAAGCCTAGTTACCTTACCATGGAACTAGATGGTAAACTGTGTTAATGTCCCAAATTGTTGTGAAAATTGTAACTAAGCCGGATCTGTACATTAAATATTTTTCGGAAAATCTTATTTAAATAGACATTAATATCGATACAGGGGCCGAATCTATAGTTTTTAGTTTTTGTTTTTGTCTGTCTGTCTGTGAACGCATCACGGAAAAACCACTGGAGGGATTTTGATGAAATTTAATATGATGATAGCTGGTTAGGTATATTGGCCAACCTATAGGATACTTTTTACTGCAAAAAAATATCTCATCTCTGAGAAATCTATAATAAACGTTAATGATGATAAAATTGTAAGAAAAAAGTATTTATAAATAGCATCAAATTCTATTTTATAACTCTATATACTTTAACGCGAAGTCATTACGCCGACTCAGTGCTTATTTGTCCAAACGACCAATTTAGCGAAAAAAGAAGTTTTAATGCTTATTATAACAGAATTATTGTTTACAAATCTTAGAAATAAAGCTCTGTTTAAGAAATAAGCCTTAAAGCTCTACTGTAAAGTACTAGTTTTGACCCTTTGAACAAATAAGTACTAAGGCTACGATTATGATTGGTGTTTATTAATTAATATAAAAATAGCTTATCTTTATATATATAATTCTTCTGTGAGTGTGTATGTCACTGAACTTCTCTCAAACGACTGGACCGATTTTGATGAAATTTTTTGTGTGTGTTCAAGGAAATGGTTTAGATTCACAATTTTGTCCGCTGGACAATGTTTTTTAATTAATTTTTAATTTATTAGTAGTTGTTGATTTTGGAATGTTTTACATTGGATCCGACAGACGGCGCTACCATCGCAGTGTCAAATTTTAAATAATATTCGAATTTTAATTTTAGTCTGTCCCGACAGTTAGCGCTGCGATCAAATTAAAAAAAAGTTTTGTTATCATTGTAGACAGGACAACGTCTGTCGGGTCCGCTAGTATATGTATATAAATGCTTCAGTTTGATAGTCGATTCTTTTTTACATATTTGTAAAGTGAATAAAATGTATATATACTATTCAGTCAACGGCACTCACTAGGTCACCATGTGTTGGCGACCCATGACATATATTCAAAATATAGAGACTTACAACCCGATAAGTACTAATATGACTGACATAAATATTTTCCTCAAGCGGGACTCGAACTTGCGAATATCTATAAATATACGAGTATAATCAGACCACTGTATAAGGTATAATTTAAAACAAAATAACCTAAAATCACTCAAATTAAAACATGCGAAATTGCATTTTGTGTAAATAAAACTCAGGCAGTACATTATGGTGCTTCTGTCCAGTATTTAGTTACAAAATACACACCGGCCAAGTTGCTTCTCGGTTTACGCTTAAGTGACTTGTCGACCACCGGAATATTCCATTAAATTATTTTCCTTGCAATCCGTCTTATGTAAGTAAATAGCCGAGGGAGAGATATTCTTCTAGAAATCCATTTATATATAATATTGATTTTGTAGAAAAAAGAGCATATTTGTGTATTTTTACTAAAAAAATGCTTATGTTGATATTTAAATTTTGATTAAGTTATGTATCTGGTTGTAAACGTTTTATATTCACACAAATGCTGCAAGCTTAAAAAATATAAGAATTTTGAATTAATGTCATTTAATATTTTTCTGACAATCATACACATTTCTTTGCGCATCATCATTAAATAATTGTTAATAAATTATATTAGCACCTTTATAAGATTTCTTATTAAAAAATCACACCATACAATTATGACTACAATTAGGGAAGCTAGAGTAATAACATTGGTAGAGTTTCGAATAAACAATAAAGGTATTTCAGCAATACTAATAATATTAAATATAGTATTTTTAATATAATTTTGATATCCTCCTTCTTTTTATAATCGGACACTATCATTAGTGTTGTTATTATAAAACCAATCCTTGAAAGAGAAAAAGAATAATTTATTTATTTTTCCAACTGATCACGATACGAAATAGGTTAACGATCCCTACATCTAACAAATATCATGCTGAGAAAATAAGTAGCACTCTAACTAATACATGCTATAAATAGAGATGACAATGCTGCGACATAGATCGTATAATTAAGGACGAAACCATTTTATCTATGTTTTAGTTATAGGTTTATGAATACCCTTTTATTTTTATTTGTTATTACTACTGACATATTTTCGCTGATGGAAATTTATTGGGCGAGAACATTCACGGACGTATGGAGAACAATTAACCAAAGTTTTATCATAATCTAATGAATGATTTAGGAACGCATACAGGACAAACATATAAAGAAAAGTTCATTTCCATTTATATATATTTGAGATTTAATATTCTTTAAAAACTTAAATTAACATCAAACACAATAAAATAACAGAACTATATTCGTATAAAAACTGATCTGTCTGTCCGTTTTTTTGTCTCATTTATGTGATTTCATAATCAACACTAATCATATTGATTCAATTTATTCATACAGAAGCTTTAAATATTTCATATTAATCATAATTTTATAAAATTTTAATATACAGTAGAAATTATAGTCTTATTTTATAGAAAATTCAAACGACGGCAATAATTACTGTCGACAACGTAAAACAAAATAGATGAGACATCCGATAGATCTAAGATAATTCATACTTCATGAAGGAACATGGAGATAATCGGTTCATTAAGCGCGCCAAGTACAGTTAATTGTTCTAATAGCCACTAGTTAGACAGCAATAGAAGGCAGCTTGATCATTGTGAATAAAATTGTTTATTTCCACTATTATGGTCAGCTGTTATTTATTGCTTGGCTTTATCTTAGTTACTTAAGTTACGAAAATTTAAATAACGCCATATTTTACATTCCTATCAAGGTGAGATTCTCTAACGTATTTGTATATGAATTGATTTGATATATTTTCCATAATCTATATATAATACATATACAAAACAAATCCGGGTTTGTTACAACACTTATAACTCGAGAACTGCTGGACCGATTTTAATGATATTTATTTTGTTGGATTGTCTTCACCCCGAGTAGCAGAATAAGTATTAAAACATCGGAAAATTCACGAAAAAAAAATAGAAAAAAAATCTGTGCCATATTAAGCGTCAAAAAGTACCTAGCTCGAACCTGATCGAAGCGAGGGTGGTTTATAATATTAGTATATAATATTATGTATAATAAGCAAATGAAAAGCTGCTTAAGATATTTTAAATTTCCTTAATAGTAAAACCTTATACATGTATTCATTACACTATACATGTAGATATTTTTATTTACATATATCGAGGTATCCCTATTAATAGTCGTTAGTATGTCACATATCTGTTAGGCCGTTATTTTTGACGTCCATTCCGGAAATCTTAGATCATGATGAAAACGGTCTGTAAGTGCACTTGCGATATCTAGGCCATACTCTGAGTAGTTTGATTATACGATTGTTTCTAATTGTATAGGTTAAGAAACTATAGGTCTTTCTATTTGTTACAAGCTTAGTATTTACAATACTAGTTATATTTTATGCAAAAGTGATTGTTAAAAGCAGCTTTAATATTTATGTTATAATTTTGATATCTATGACCTACCAAATTCTATGTAAAATGTTCATATTTTTTTTGTATTTTGTATTTGTACATAAAATGTATTTAATACGAACTAATACATCTGTTTACATTTTCATGTAATATCTGGCTGGTATTGCATTGTATTGTATATTTATAGTGCATTTTTAACGTCCCACTGCTGGGCACGGGCCTCCCTTCAATACGAGGGGGATCAAGCCATAGTCCACCACGCTGGCCAATTGCGGGTTTGTGGACTGCACATGTCTTTCGAAAACTTGCTAGGTTCCTCACGATGTTTTCGTTCACCGTAAGACAAGTGGTAGTCATGTTGGAAATGATGCGCATATGAAAATATCAGAGGACCCGGGATTCGAACCCGCTTCACTCAGTCTCCCATGAGCGGGTTACCATTAGGCTACCAGTGCTTTCTTTCTGACTGGTAATATTGTTTAATCGTAGTGTAAATGGCCACAAAGTAAATATGTTAGTAGAGTAATCATTTCATAGCAGAGGCAGTTTTAGATTAGATATAGAGAATTTAGTGACTTGCATTAATAATTATGGGAAAATTTACTTTTAAATGTTATGTATCTACAACTTTGTCGGCCACGTCGAGAAAGTCTAAAAAACTATAAATAAGATAAGATAAAAATATATATTGGAACATTTGAAAGAGACGTAAAAAATTAACATAAAGCTTTATATTATGAAATATTAAAAAATCTCATCATTTTCAATGTTATTCAATCTCGGCGGGAATAATGAACAAAATTATATAAAAAACATATTTGCGTAGAGCTTCCATAAGCAAATGGTGAAGCACGATCAAATTATGCGACTCAGTTGCAAGTAATAGCGGAGCCTGTAATCCCGTCTCATTACGACCAAGAATCCTGGAGACATTTTTTCAATTATCTTACCGCCACTGCAAATGCAATCAAATTTTCTTTTA